TGCCTCAATCCCTCAGCTTTGTCTCCTTCTTGCGTGTCTTCAGCTTGCATCTGAGTACTATGACACATTTCGCAGAATATGCTGTGACTCATTACACAAAGTAAAAGTAAAAAACTAATTCTTAATGTTTACTTTCGTGATGGGCTGGGATGTCATCAAATATTAAATAGTTCAGCCGAGGCAGGCTCTGAACCCTGTAGAGAGCACACTTAGAAACACTAAGTAACACAAGCTTAATAAGTCAATATTTTATTCTAAAAGTAGTTCACAGCTACATTAGTACAGTAACATATTCCAACAATGCTACTAAAACAAATATAAAAACAACAAAGGAAAAAAAGGACATCATCAGTGCCAGATATATTGTTTAAGCAACCAGACTGGTTTATTCAGGTGAAAAGAATTTTTTTTAGGGGGATACAGTGGTTGAAAAAAGTAATTTTAAGTCAATTTGCAACCATTGAAAGGTTGATAGCAGAGGGACACAAGAATGCAGGGAGCTTAATTATTTAAATTGAAAACTTTAGTTGTTTTGGTTCTTAATTAATAACATATTAAAACATAATTGAAAATTAGCTTTTAATAATAACTGTCATCTGGTGAACTGTAATCTTGTTGCAGAGAGTTCATTGAATAGTACTTGGAGCACTTGCCTGTTTATGTTATGTAGTGGTTCTATTTTTTGGCAGCAAGCAGTAAAGGACAATTCTATGTTGGAGGAAATTCCACCTGGGCCTCAATAGATATAACATTTCAGTACATAAAATTTCTAAATGTTACTTTAATTTTGAAGCGAGATTGCTCTAAGTTTTTTTTTAAGAACTACAGAAAGCTGCCCTCAACTTTATAAAACATAGAGTTTCATACAGTGCCTTATCAACCTGTCCTCTCTCTCCGCACAGCATGCTCTGGCCTGCTCCACGTCCCCCGCTCGGCCCGCACCACCTTCGGCAGTTGGGCCTTCAGTTTCTCTGCCTCCACCCTTTGGAACTTCATCTCACAGTCCCTTCACCTTGCTCCCTCTGTTGCCTCTTTCAAAGCACGTCTCAAGAGCCTCCTCTTTGACTGGGTATTCTGTCACCCTCCTATCCCTACCCTCCCTGCCCTCCACCCCTCCCCCTGATCCTAACCATCTGCTTGGATCCAAATTCCTGACTGTCCAGAGCCTTGGGACATCCTCCTTACATGAAAGGCGCTGTATAAATGTAATTTGTTGTTGTTATAACACCATCAAGACAACTCAAAGCTTCACAAGTTTTTTTTTCTGTAAACAACAACAACAACAAGATTCCATTTATTGAGCGCCTTTCATGTCGGGAGGACGTCCCAAGGCGCTGTACAGTTGGGCCAGGACCCGAGCAGGGGGAAATGGTCAGGGTGAGGGGAGGGAAGGGAGGGAGCGAGGAGGGGGGAAATGGTCAGGGTGAGGGGAGGGAAGGGAGGGAGCGAGGAGGGGGTAGAGAGTCGAGAGGGGAGCTGAAGGCACGGTCAAAGAGAAAGGTCTTGAGACCGGCCTTGAAGGAGGAAAGGGAGGAGGTGGCGAAGGCACTGGGGGATAGAGTTCCAGAGCCTCGGGGCTGAGAGGCTGAAGGCCCGGCCACCGATGGTAGGGCGGTTGGAGCGGGGGATGTGGAGCAGACCGGAGCCAGAGGAACGGAGGGTACGGGCGGGTAGGTAGAGGGATAGTAGGTCAGAGAGGTAGGAGGGAGCAAGGCCGTGAATGGCCTTGTAGGTGAGGGTGAGGGTAAAGTGTAGTGACTGTGGAACTCACTGACAGAAATTGAGGTTGAATAATATTGCATCATTGTATTTAAGAGAAAAAATGATGCATACACGAGGGAGAAGGGAATAGAGGGGTATAGGAGAGTAGAATAGGAAGGGTGGAGTCTCATGTGGAGTATAAACACAGACTGGTTAGTCTTATCTTTCTATTCTGTAATTCAAATTACATTTATACAGCGCCTTTCATGTAAGGAGGCAGAGAAACTGAAGGCCCATTTGTAAGCAAATGTGGCAACCAAATTGCACACAGCAATGTCCCACAAACAGCCATGAAGTGAGTGGCTGATTTTATCTGGGGGATTGGTGACCACATTCAACCCCTAGACATAATATTAGAAGGGGAGGGTTCCTACCTAGCTCTTGTAGCATTTGAGGCAAAAGTTGTGGTCATTTCTTGACCCATTTTCTTGTGTTAATCAGCACAAGCAATAATCCTTACAGAAATAATAATAATCTTTACATTTGATAAAGCGCCTTTCATGCCAGGAGGACATCTGAAAGCACTTCACAGGACTTACTGTGCATTTGTATGTGAATGCAGCAGTGAATTTTGCACAGCAATGTCCCACAATCAGCCATGAAATAAATGTAGTTTTATTTGGGGAATTGTTGACCAGGACACCAGGAGAAACTCACTTCTCTTTTTAAATAGTGCCATGAGATCTTTAACGTCCACATGACCAGACAGACGTCTCAGTTTAACATCTCATCTGAAGGGCGGCACCTCTAACAATGCAACGCCCCCCCGTGACTGCTCAGGAGTGTCAGCCAAGACTGTGAGTTCAAAGTCTGGATGTGGGGCTCCCATGTCCTGATTCAGAGATGAGAGTGCTACCAACTGAGCCAGGCTGACATCTATTAAGACTGAATTCAACAAATTGCCAGATGCTGGATTTTTAAAAATGCTCCACAGAGTAAATCTAGACCCAAGTGGAATTTCTATCCCATGTACCGTAAGGAAACACAACTGAGGATAAACCACTTCTGTTAAATGTTTGCTTAAACAATATTTTAAGATATTCTTCATTATTAAACCAGTTTTGTTAAACAGTAATTTTTTTATGTAGACACCAACACTACAATTTAGAAAATAAATTTCAGTTACAAAATAAATCAAAATAAATTAACAAGTGCTACAAAGGTATCCAAAGTTAAACAACTATTTGACCTATCACGACAGAGTTCACAATAAATACTAATTCTTCTGTTAACTGTTAGTGCAAGTTTAGAGTCTTTTAAAAATAGTTGATATTCTACGCCATTTTACTTATAATTAAAATGAGAAATTGTACCAGTTACATCATTCACTATTTATATTATTCTAAAGTGCACATTGTTACCAGACTCATATGCTGGAAGAAATAATGCCAGCTAATAGAATATTAAATATTGTAAAACAAGCTGCTGTATTAAAACTACAAAGTATTTACAGAGATTCCTGGCCCAGACATTCTCAGTTAGTTTCTTAACATCTTGTTGTGCATGTTATACAGTCCTATCAGTAGTATCAATGCACTTTTGGGAGTGTAAAACGATTATGACAACAGATAAGGTTAAAACAAAGTAATTTGGAATAATTTATTGGAAGGGGGAAAAATCTTATTGCAGGAACTTTCAAAATGAAATATCTGCAATGGCTTTGCTGCCTTTCATTATAGGGTTCATAGTACAGGGTTTTAAAGGTTATCGTGCTGAGATTTACAAAGCCGTTTAAACCAACAGCTTTACAATTTATGACAAATATATAATTTCGATAATTCTTCTCATGTGTCCAGCAATGCCAAAAATAAACAGCAGGGCCAACAACCCACTCAAGAGAGGCCTTTCAGTTTAGTAGCAAATTTGCACGTTTAAGTTATTGTCTCTTGAAATATTTTGTCACTCATGAAAATAGTATCCTCACGAGTGAATCCCTGTTTAATATAACCTAAGCTGCAGGTACTTTCTTCCATGCATATGGCATATCTAAACTCCATTCAGTGCACAGAAGAATGACTCAGTGCTATAGAATGAGAAAGGGGACAATGCACGATATAACAGGTGTTCTCACGCACAGACACAGACAAACATGAGAAAAATACTAAACAAAGTATTATTAAGTTGAGTCAAATAAAGCAATCACTAGGATGGAGAGAAGGAGCAGCACTGAATCTCAGTTCTGGTAACATCCCACAGCTGGAAAGCCCAGAAATGCATGGAAGAACAAGTCATCCAAGATCCTCAGGTGAAAGGGATGCAGGGTACAAATATCCTCCAGAGTGTATTGCATTTGGCATAGAAATCCCCTACATAATATAGAACTGCTCTACTAATACCTCGCAGTTTGTTCTGCAGAGAAAGTCTTGGCTGTACTCTTAACTATAAAAGGCATCAATAATAAAATTATAAGGATAATGAACAATTGAAGCATGACTTTGTTAACTCTTTCACCAGCCCATTGTGTTTGTTAGAAGACCTTTAATATGTACTATTAATTGGTAGGAATACTCTGCTTGTCAGTAAATTTATGGGAAAAAGTCATAAGTAGACACTAAGTTTAGTGAATTTACTGACAAGTGCAGAATCAAGCTCGTGAGTTCCATTTGGCTAAAACAAATTTTGTTTTAATGAAATATATGAAATAAATTACAAAAGAGGTTTCCTTTTGAATTATATCTGTTTGGGATATTCATTGCACATTAAATTTTATTGAACAATAGCAATTTATTAACTCTTATGTAAATAGAGAGAGGAGAGCAAACCCAAATACAGATTTATACTTTCCTGTGTTTGTTTTTAACATCACAGATGGATGTAGGTGGAAGAGTGAAGCAGTCACTGAACTGTCAAATCACAGTACTTTTTTTAAACGTACAAGTGGTACTTCAGATAAAATAATATTCTGTTCGACATAGTTTCCCAGTAGTGATAAATAAAATCCATTCTCCAGTAGTGATAACTAAAAATCATAACAGTAGTGTAATTAATTCCAGTGTTTGGTTTACAATTTTTACATTGTACAGGAAGTTATCTGTTGCTTGTCCACCACACGTCCTTAGTTCAACTCCAAGGCTGCTGGTCCCCAAGAATGCAGCACATAACAAGCAGACCATTTGATAAGACCCTGAACATCAGCAGCCCTGCATGATAGTTGCACTTATTTCACTACTTCTGAAGTCTTAATTCACGTTAAACTTCAATTAGGCTTGGCGTGCAGACATAGAAAAGCAATTTGAGATATTTTCATTAACTGTTGCACAGACAGCACAAGAACGTGAACCATGGCACATTGCGAAGAGTAAAGTCCCGTTCTTGGTTACAATAAAAATGATGCCTTGTAGTCAACTGACTTGTTTGAACTGAAGTTCTTCTATCAATGCACAAAAGAAACAGGATTCCGTATATTTTTTGGCTTCAAATTGGAAATTTTGTATGTTTGTTGTTCTAATGCTTCCATTATAAGTCAAGTTTCTCAATGACTTGTATTGTGTTGACATAAACATGCATCTCCTCCGGTCTGTCCCGTCTGTACGTGATAGTCTTTGCACTAACCGTAGGCAGTGGAGTATTGTTCTTGAAAAGAAAAAACACAAATACGTACCTTCAGTAGGTATTCAGCGTGTATTTCCTTCACGACAAATTACCTAAACTTATGTAAAAGTTTTAAATTTTCCAGATGTTTACAAAGCTGTAACCTATTAATTCTACCTTTTGTGGTGGAGCTACTTTGCAATCGCTGCCGGGAGGCTTCAGTCTGTTTGAACTCCACTGCATCATTATCTGTCTGATTATCATCACAATAATTAATCCAGTGATAACTGTACCAACAGATAGCACAAGACACATAGTGAGAATCTTGTGGTTAGACTGGTATTCTGTAACAGAATAAGATTGACAATAATTGTCAAAAGCAAGATTAAACAAGCAACGCTAAAGCAAGATTACAAGTGTTTTGCATTTTAATTTTGCAATTAATGGTACAGCACAATATATTATCACCGATAACAACTTGCATTTACGTACCGCTATTCATGTAATGTGTCAGAGGTGTGACACACCGAGCAGGGAAGTGGTCATCATAGACCTGATCAAAGAGGTGAGCTTTAGGCAGTTTTTGAAGACAGACAGAGAGGGAGTGAGATGGGGAGGGTAGAGTGGGGGAAGTCTAGAAGTTGGGGATATAGTGAATGAAGGTTTGGCCCCTAATGTTGGGGATGGAGAATCTGAATTTGCCAATTGGACACGGTGAAAATTCCCCTCCCCGGAGCCCAGTGATAACTATTAACTGCTTTTGACCTTATATTCTGATAGAACTGGTCACTCATTTTATTGCCGTTTGTGGGCCATCGCCATGTGCTTTTTAGCTACTGTGTTCACCTGCAAATATGCAGTCATGATACTTTAGAGAAACTGTGTGAAAAGCTTTGAGATATACTCAACATTATTAAGTTGCATCAAATGCAAGAGTTATTATTCTTATATTTGGAAATTACAAACATCATTTTTTAAAAATGCGTTAACAACTAGATGTGTTTATTATGGTTCCATTGCATTTTAGCAGAAAACATTGCATGAATATGAATTACAATGCTGACTATATTTCTACCGCAATTTCAATTTCTACTGCTTCTCTGAATCATTGCAAAGCTATTCCACCAGAGGGCGACAGAACCAAATTCAAGCAAAATACAACTTAAATCTACTGTACTGTTGAGAAATGCAAGACAATAAATCATTATGTTTAACAAAGTGGTATATTTTAATTCAGTAGCACATACCTGGATTTTCTAATATATAGAGGTATTGTTTTTCAGTGTCAGTTGCTACCATTTTGAATTTGTACAAATATTTATTTTTAGCTTGAAAAACACAGTACTGTGATCGTTCTTCTTCGGATTCTGAAAAAGAAAAAAAATATATTTATGGCACTCTTCATGTAAAACAACTGTTCAACAATACCCATCAGTGAAGATGTCCTAGATATCCTGTTACAATAAATCAACTGCAACTCAATCTAAATGCCAGCCCTTGCAGATATTTGTTTCAATATGTTTCGCCCACAAAATATAGTCAATTCACTTTACAGTATATTCTGTGAAGCGCTTTGAGACATCTCGAAGACGTGATAACATGCTGTATCAAATGCAAGGATTATTATTATATATTTGGGACTAAAGACTAGAAGCACTTTTTCTTTCTCCACAGAACAGATGATGCTGTGTTGACCAGCTCCTTGAAGAAAGAACTAGATAAGCACCAGCTGAAGAAAGCAGTTTCGGAGGATAAAGGGATAAATATAAACTGAGATGAAGAACAACTCCACTGAATACACAGATTTCAGTGTTACTAATACAGGTCTGAATCTGGTTTGTCTGTCTGCAGAGTGCAAGGAAGGTATCAGGCCTCAGTCGTGGATTTGTGGGGATGGAAGAATATTTAGAATCTTTACCCGATTAGTGTTGGGATTCAAGGAATTTGTAATATCACAGGTTACACCTCAAGAGATGCTGTGGATTTCATACTGTTTAATGTCACTATCCTGATTTAAATGAATTCGGAGACAGATAACATGCATACATAAAACTAAATAGAGTGTACAGTACTGAAATAAGGTAGTAAGCCCAACTCGTCATGATCTTCTCTCCTTACTCCTTCCCCCCACATCCTTCTCTTCCCTTCTCCCTTAAGTATGCAAAATTAATGCAAGATGAATTAGTTAACACTAAAGATTTATTTTACTCCTTTTTTTATTGCTTTGTTCCACGCTCGAGGTAGATTTTTTTTATTCACACCACCTTCGTCTGGTTTTGGATCGTTGCAAAGCAGTTAGAAACTATTTCAATACTGATTCAAGATTGATAATAATAGGATTTGATCAAACTAAACCCTAGTTCACTGGCCAGGAATATGATAACACAAAGGAACCTTTCACCCCATCGAGCTTGCTATCAGATCATGGCAAGATATCACAGATAAAGAAAAGGTTAATTTCTCTCTGTATTTCACTTACATTTTAAAATATATATCTAAGCTTTCCAGTTTTGGATGTTAAATCAGTAAGAATCAGCATTTGTCGTATTTTCCAATTTTCTTAAATTAAATTGAGACTTACCGTTGTTAAATATAGGATTTTCTAAAAAAATTGTTTTTAAACATGTGTTCTACCAGGTGTCAGATTGGCTCTGTTGGTAGCTCTCATTTTGACTCAGAAGGTCAAAGTGTCTCAAGTTTTCAAGGTTGAAGAAGGCTTAAGCACCACATCGGGGCTCTAATACAGCACTTGGAAAGGGTTGCATTGTCGGATGTGCCATCCTTCTGATGAAATGTTACACCAAGGTCCTGTTTGTCTTTTTAGTTGGATGCTGAAGATCCCATGGCACGATACAAAGAGAACACAATCTTTTGTTGGGCAAGACACTGGGACAAACTCTCCTCCCTTTTAACATTGTGCCACAGGATCTTCAACATCCACCTCTTAAGCCTTCTCATCCAGACCGGCAAGCTCAGCACGAACCAGGATCCAGGATTCAAACCACTGAGTTCCTAGTCATTAAACTGAAACTCTATCTACTACACCATTAGTCCTGTGATCCAATTTGATTCAATGCATTGGGAAAGATAAAGAGCTCCCATAACTTATGAATCAGCAAATCGGGCTCAACAGTAATAATAATAATAATCCTTGCATTTGATATAGTACCTTATCACACTGGCAAGATATCTCAAAGTGCTTCCCAGGATAATAATAATAATAATACTAATAATCCTTGCATTTTATACAGCACTTTTCACGTCTTCTAGACGTCTCACAGCGCTTGGTTCTGTTGATCCATTTTTTGACCTTGGATGTCTTAGTGTTACTTTTATATATATTAGAAAAACCCATCATAAGATGACACCACCGAGTGAGTGCATTTACCGTAAAGCAGGCAATCAAATTGTTCACCTGCCAAGGCCAATGAATTTACCAACTGGCAGAGAATCGATGCAGTATGAAAACAACACTCTGAAAGCAATAGATACCTGAAAGCTCATCCACCAACACCATTTGAGAACAGGAGGTGCTGCAGTTGGAAGAGTCTGGCCAATGGTTTAAATGACACTCCACGCACTTCCTGGAAAATCAAAAATTGTACATGTTTAGAGGCAATATGTTTGTGTGTCCATGCCTGGGTGCGTACAAAATCTATTACTAATTTTATTAATGTGAACTACTTGTCCATCTTTCAGCTAAAATAGAAATAATCAAACCACCAGTGACCATGCAGGGAAGGAAGGATCACAGCCAGGCTTGATCCTGTTATATAGGATCCACGCATTCACCTCCATTAGGAGTCTGGGGTTAATGAATGATGAATGAGAACTCTATCTGTAGTCTTTCTCCCTCAATCCAGAGTGCTAAAACTAATTGTAACACTTTGCTGAGATCAATGCACCAAGCACAGACCAGAGATTGAACCTGAAATCTTCCTGGTATTATTACTCTGCTATTCACCGAATAAACTTACTGAGCTGCAGGGGAAGTCAATGATTAACAATTTTAAGGATGTGTCTTATTGTATTTTTATCTGGAAAAGTTCAAAATAGCATTGAAACTGCTGTCTATACTACTGTTGTACATTCAAATGTAAAAAAAAGTTTGTTTGCATAAATTGCACAAGAAATTCCATACCAGCTATTTTCACAGGAGTTTTCACATGTAGGACACACGTCACAAAAAGTGCCTGAAGCTCTAGATTCAGTGCACTGACATCTTCCGCAGACACATGTCCCCCTTCCACTGCAGATTACACCTGATCCCGACCTGCAGGATTCCAGAAACGATGAACAGTTGCAGCTTTCACCTTCCCAGCCAGGGTAACATTTACATTCTCCTCCTTTACATTCGCCGTTGCCTGAAACAAGAGGCAAGAGATTGATTAAATGAACTTGTCAGACTTTGGTTTGTTGGCTGTGGATTAGGAATCCAATCATAATAATAATAATCCTTGCATTTGTTACAGTGCCTTATCATGTCTTTGGAACGTCTCAAAGTGCTTCACAGAATATACTGTAAAGTGAATTGACTGTATATTTTGTGGGCCGAATGATCCAAAATCAACTTCATTCACATATGCTTTTACTCTCTCTGTTTGCTCTGTTTCATGTTCAGTTATCTCCATTAAAGCATTGAGAAAAGTACTACAAAAACGATGTCTAAGAAAAACATACTTGGGATATTTTTCTGCTATTATGCATTTATAGTTCTTTCTTTAGAATAGGCCCTGACTGGATAAACACTTTTTGCTTGAAATCATGGCGAAAGGACATTTTGTTTAAAACACAAGCTTCACAACTCATCAAACTGTAATCATGTCAAATAACTACAACAACCACAAAATCTTACATTTATATAGTGTCCCTCATGCAGGGTAGCGTCCCAGAACTTTCTGGATAGATACAAATCGGTAGTGTTTTAAGTCAGGCAATGAGTCGATGCTCCCTTGGCTAAATTCCAATAAATCTCAGTTACAAATTAAAGTTGGAATCTGGAAACAGATTCAGTTCAACACAGTTTGAACCCTGAATACAATTATCTTTGTAATCCACAGGACAGGCTTGTTTCAAAAGGGCAGCTTTTACAAAATGAATGTCCCTCTTGCTAAGGAAGCTGTGTATTATGCAGTTTCATATCAAATTCAATATTATTGAATGACAAACTTCCGCATTCCAGTAAATTGCAATTTCTGGTCCAAAATTGCATCCAGATAAAGCAGCAGTGACCCTTCCAACTACATATGTGCTTTAATTGAACAGGTAATAAACACTAATTTCTGCAAATTGTATGTGTTAATAATATTGATTTCACCAGTTCCAAACTTCCAAACTTTAAAAACTTCACCCTGCTGATAATTTTCTAATCAGTTGTTTACCCACTCTCAGTGCAAGACTCCACAGGGACCTTGATGTTAGATCCTATAAATGTGAGAGGGCCAACTCAGATTCCAATATAAGCTAATTCACCTAACACAAACTCCATCCTCACCAGACCGATGAGCTTTGACAGAATGCAGCATCTCCACAATCTGCACCATCTCCTCTGATGCTTAGCCTCACTCTCTTCTTGGACTCAACCCCGTTCAAGCTTGGCCTTCTACCAATTGGGCAAGGATCCCATTAGCCATAAACTCACTCAGTTCATGCTGTTAATAACAATGTGCAGCCCACAAATATGACCCTGCCCAATATCCCCACAATAAACATATCTGCCGATCTGAACACGTACTACACAGGGTGTGCCTGGAGCTGCAGAAATACCAGGAGATACAGTCTACTTCCTACTTACTGAATCCACTCAAACACCCTCCAAACCAAGACCCTGTAAGTCATAATGGAAGTCAGATTCATCCAAGGCTCCAAAACGCATTGTCTCCCGAGTCCCAAGACTGTGAAAGGCACAGTCTTTGTACAGACTTGTATAAATCCCAAATCCAGAAAGAAAACAACCTGCCCAAATCAACTGCCCAAAATGCTCTCAGGCCTTCTCTCTCAGACTAGTCTGGTTCCCCAACCATAGAGTACGCATAATCTTAATGTATAAAACCTGGCAAGGCCGTCAGTGGATATTTCAGACATGTAAATCAGCATGCATGTTACATCGGTTACAAATAACTGAGAAAGTGTTTAAAAAATAATTAAACTAATACTCAAAACCAAATGCGCTGCCAAGGGCCGAAATGTATTATTTAGGCACCAATGCCTGTTCTCCTTGATGTGGTCTAAGGGAAGGAATCACTGTAGGCAATTGTAAACCCATAGATCCATAAGCATTACTAAACAGATTCATGTGTTTAATATTATAACCACATTATGTGCAGGCACAATATTTTCAAAGACACCAAACTTTGTTAAAAATTTTGCTCAAACTGTAGAGTGGTCAAATAAGTAAATCTTCAGGTGAACCTTGAAAGAGGTGAAGGCGGGAGGGAGGGATTCAGGGAGATGCCGGGATGAAGTTCCAGAGAGTGGAGGCAGAGAAGCTGAAAGTCTGTTATGGTAGAGCGGGTAGAGCGGAGGACATGAAGCAAGCCAGTACTCACTGAGAGAAGATCGTGACTTGGTCGGAACAGATTGAGGATATTTCAGAAGTAGGGTGGGATGAGACTCTGGAGGGATTTAAAGGTAAGAGACAACAAGGTTCTTGAACTCGATCCACGAGGGATCGAAGAGCTAATGAAGCTGTGTGAGGATGGGGTGGGGGTGGAGGGGCAGGGGAGGATATGAGAGATTTACGGAGCCTCGTGAAATGCCTGAGGCATTTTCATTTTTCTGCCCATCACTCCCTCATATTTATACATGGAAAATCCAGAGATGTTTATTGGAATGGAATGCGTACTCTCTCCCTGGAGGGATGCTTCCTGCTTATCTAATTTCACAGAGTATTAGGAGGAAGTTGGCAAGAGCCAAGGATTGGGGACCCCAGAGTGTGCGTTGGGGTACTGGAGGAGAACCGTAAAGCACATTCCACGGTTGCTAAGCCTTGGCTCTTGCGAATCTGCACTTAATATTCTGCAGAAGTAAGAGCGATAGTTATGTTCATGGCCCACCAGTTGGGATGATGATAATGATCTCCAATGATTGAATGACTCTTTCCTTTTAAAAAATAAATTGTATGGTGCTGAATAAAAGTACATGAAAACCATCAACATTTTGCCATCCAGACTCTGAAGCTTGTACGACAGAATATTACATTCTAGATATACACACAAAAAAGGATATTTATGCTGGGCTCATCATTTCGGCACAGGAAGTCAGGACAAGACAATTCAAAGCCTTTAGCTCTGTTGGGATCACAGATCTGAGCCAAAGTCTTGTGACTCTGTGTGATGTCCAGGGGAGATTCCCTAGAGAAAACGCTGATGTTTTTGCTCGTGACTGAGCATCGGTTTTGTTTCTAGAGGACTTTCAAAGACGCCATAGTTTTAAAATTGTCTGATGAATTAACCAAAACTGGGTCATATTCTCCACTGTTACAGTTTTGTTTATATGAATTTGAGAGTACAGACTTCTGGAAAATAAATTTTGCTGCTCCACACAGGCTGTCCTCTTGTCCTCAGTCCATGACATTCATCCAGTCAATGGAGTTCATTTTGGGACCACGTCACAACCACAATAATCACTGCTCCTTTAATTCACATGCAGCAGCCCTAGTTTGATGTCATTCTACATCTTTCCACTTCCCTCACAACCCTTGTGACCTGCTCAAAGAAGTTCAACCAAAACATCATAGTATATAAAAAAGACTCCCTCAAACACAGAGCGGAGCATTCAGAACTCACAAGGGGAAGAAAAGGGATTTGCTGCAAATGTTTGAAATCTCCAATCAAAACTGAAAAGCTCTGGATATCCAGAGCACACAAATGAGTGTTTGTAAGGGAAAACAATCAGTGAACATTTTGGGAGCCGAAAATGACACTTTTTTTNCCCTCTTCCAAATCCTGATTGATCTGCTGCAGGTTTGCAATATTTTATTCAATGAGTGAGATAGCTATTGCACATCAAACAATACAACATGTACATTTATATAACGCCTTTCACCTCAGGAGGACATTTGAAAGCATTTGCTACTGCTAGCTGGGGGTGGGAGCAGAAGGCGAAAAGATGACCAAACATCTTTCTTTACATCAATTTGCACTTATATAGTGCTTTTCATATTGTTAAACATTTCAAAGCACTTTGTAGATATGGAGTGGTGCCAGAACATGCTGGGTGATAGAGAGGGAGGTAAGAGGAACATTACTGAAAGGGTAGTTAAAGAGATAGGTTTTTAGAAGGGTTTTGAAAGCTGAGAGATTTAGGGAGAAAGCATTGGTTTAATTGGTAGGGTGGTCATAGCTGGACAAGCACTGGGAAAGCTTGCCATTACTTTCAATCGCAGGTTATGCGGTTTTAGCTGGCTAGACTCCAGCAGTACCCAACTCAAATTCTGGACCGCATTCCTCCACCTCCACCACGTTGCCGCCTCCCATGGTACCTTGCTCCAATCGCAGCTGAAACACTTGTCCATTCGTTCATCACCTCCTGCCTCGACTTCCCAAATGTTCTCCTCGCTGGTCTCCCCAGCTCCACCATCCACAAAATCCAGCTAATTCAAAACTCCACCAACTGAATATGCACCGATACTAAACTCTGTACCACCATCACACCAGTTCAAGCCAGGCTCCAATGACTCCCTATCGCCGAATGGATCGGTTTCAAGAGCTTGACAATGGTTTTCAAATCTCTTCATGCACAAGCACCTCCCTACCTATGGCCTGCTTACCCCCTAACCCACTACCCACTTTACAGTAAATTCTGTGAAGCACTTTGAGATGTCTCGATGACATGATAAGGCACTATATCAAATGCAAGGCTTATTATAACTATTATTTAAGAGCATTCAGAATTGTGGACAATGATTAAATTCAGCCTTAATTTGGAAGCCTGTTTTTTGAGTTTTTAAAATGAACTGGTTTCTAAATTGAAGCTGAATTTAAGAATTTTGCAGAATTCTGAACAAATCTTACATTTTAAGTCAAAATGGTCATACAGGCTGCAACTAGGTAGAATTTCAGGCTTGAAGTCTCCACATGGTGTAAACTTGATATCGCAAAAGGGTCAGTCAGTCATCATCGTCTTAACGTCTTTCAAGGACCCGTCTCCCTCTTCAGGTGGTTGTTAAAGATCCAATGAAACAATTTGTAAAGAGGCAGCAGTTTCTCACATGGTTAACAATCCTTCACATACTTGGTCATTCACCTCATGACTGTTGTTTGGATATTATTGGCACAAATAGCCGCTGGGTTTGCCCACAAAAATAGTCACTGCACTTGGCAGAAATTACCTGCAAAAACTTTTGAGACATTTCAAAAGGCTAAAAACTCTTTCTTTCCCTTAGGTTTGATTAATTGTTAGAAATAAACTTACATTGAGAGTCACCAGTCATGCATGCTATCTGCACAAACCTTACAAACCGCCCAAATACTATTCAAGAATTGATTGATAAATATATATTTTTTAAATCCTCTAACTTATTATTAGGAAAATCCTCTAACTTATTATTATGAAATTATTAGGAAAATATATTATTTAACAACATAAAAGAGAAATGAAGTGTACTGGTCCCAGATTACATTGAGTATATCAGGTGCCAGAAACAACAACAACAAAATTACATTTATAGAGCGCCTTTCACGTTGGGAGGACGTCCCAAAGCGCTGAACAGTCAGCTGTCGGGGCACAAGCATGGGGGAGGGGTTGTGTAGGGGTGAGGGAAGGCAGAGAGAGGGGAGGGAGACCAAAGGCACGGTTGAAGAGAAGGGTCTTGAGACCGGCCTTGAAGAAGGCAAGGGAGGAAGCGAGGCTAAAGGACCGTGGGATAGAATTCCAGAGTGTGGGGGCAGAGAGGCTGAAAGCCCGGCCACCGATGGTAGGGCAGGAGACATGGAGCAAGCCAGAGCCTGCTGAACAGAGGGAGCGGGCAGGTTGGTAGGGAGTCAGCAGGTCAGAAAGGTAGGAGGGAGCAAGGCCATTGATAGCCTTGAAAGTGAGGACGAGGATCTTGAATTCGATCCTCTGGGGGATGGGGAGCCAGTAGAGACGGGCGAGGGTGGGAATGATGGGGTCACGGAGCCTGGTGCGCGTGAGTACACGAGCTGCAGAGTTTGTAAGTTGTTATATGAAAATTGCCCAAAATAAAACAATTCCTTATACTGATTATAAACTTTCTTTGGCCTCCTTCTTTACAGTATCCCCCATTGTGTTTCCTGAACAAACACATTTGACTAGTGTCCGTAAATTAAATGCCAATACTCAAGCCAGCTTTGCTAATGGAGGTAAAACAGTAATTATTTTAAAGGTCATTCAAAAAAACACCACGGCACCCTAAAATTCATTTTAGATTGTTATTGTCCAAAACTGATATGCCGAGCCCAAACAGATTGCCTACTGTTTTACCCATCCACTTATTAATAACCCCCTATTTCTGTAAAGAAGTTAATAATTCCCTGGCAAAATTCATGACCTTACCGGCACATAAACTTCCACGGTGATAAGGACATGAGAAATCATCTTTCTCACAATACTTTCCATACACTCTCCCCAGTCTGGTCACATAACATAGGCATTTCCCACAATGGCAGATCCCTCGACTGCTACACGCAGGCTGTTCTTTGTGCTGTTGACATCGTTCAATAAGGCATTGCTCCCAGGGCATTTCTTTGCAGGAGGAATTAGAAGCTCCTTTTTTGCATTGGCAATGTTTGCAGTCCAGTTCAAGTTCTTCATCAAAGCATCTTCCAGCTCTGTGATCTATTGGTCCCTTGCATTGACAAGTACAAGTGCTCTTAACAGAAATAAAAGTTGTCTCATTGTATCCAATAGGTTTTAAAGCGATGTACTTATCACCATCATAGCACTCTGTCATTCCAACTGTTATATTAAAAGAAACCTAAACCAGAAAAGAAAGAGAAAATTACTACCAATATTTAATGTCCAGTCATAACACTACCAATAATTTTGATGTGGTTTCTGAATTGAAGTGACACCACGAATTGTAGTTTAGATTTAGTGAAACTGTCACCTACATTTCTATTTCTGTTTCTGGAGGATTTACAATGTTAGGATAATAATTAGTTATATGTTTAGAGGTAGCTTTAAATTCTGTGAACAAAGCTCAACATGCTTGATTCGTAACATTACTGCTGGGGTTTGCACATATCCAGGGGCCTTCAAATCAATTCCAAATTGAGTGGTGCAAATGATGTATAACTCTGATCAGTCTGCTTATTATCTCTCCACCGACTGGAAATGATGACAACTACTTCCTGTAGTATAATTGGAATGTCTGGTAAAGTAGTTCATTTTACCTTCATTTACAGGAGATTATCACATTTTGAAAACAAATGGAGAAAGCAAAACACTCATTCAGAAACAATGAGAAAGATTGTTTTCTCATTCAAAGAATTACTATGATTGACAAAATCATGTTACAATAATAAATAATAAATAATTTGCCTTGCATTAAATATTGCGCCTTTTACATTTGGAGATGTCTCAAAGCACTTCATAGGATATACTGTAATATGTAGTGACTATACATTTTGTAGGCAAATAAAATAATTAATGAAAGCATGACTTTTTAATCTATTGTTGGCAATATATCTGGTAATGTCATCAAAGACTCTTTTTAAAAATTATTGATTGGTGAAAATGGTCAGAACAAAGTTATTTAAAAAAATAAATATAATGTCTTGAAGATATAATAAGGCACTATACCAAATGCAGGGATTATTATTGCTATAACTGATTAGCACTTGTTGGGTCTTTGTACATAAAGTGTCAGATTGGCTCAGTTGGTAGCACTTGTGTCTCTGGGTGAGAAGGTTGTAAGTTGAAGCCTCACAATAGCAGGATTTTGAGCTCAGTCTCGGCTGACACTTTACAGTGTTGTACAGAAAGAATGTTGGATTGACTGGAGTCCCGTAGCTTAGTGGTTAGAGCACTTGCCCCGCAAGCAAGAGACCTGGGTTCAATTCCCGGCAGGACAAAACATTGGGCAGTTTTCCTCACTCCACATGCCTATGTTTACCTAGCAGAAAGTGGGAACCTGGTTGTTAGTCGATTGATGAATCGCTTTTCTGGGGGTAATAATTGATTCAAAATAAATAAAAATTATTTGGTCACTCAATCCACGACTGTTTGTGGGACACTGCTGTGCGCAATTGGCTGCCGCGTTTCGTCCACAAAATATAGTCAATTCACTTTACAGCATATTCTGTAAAGCGCTTTGAGACGTGACAAAGAGGTGATAAGGCGCTATATCAAATGCAAGGATTATTATTATTATTATTGTTAGAGTTCGCTGTCCTTCAAATGAAAATTAAACAAAACCCCAGTCTGCCTGTACAGGTGTTTGGTAAAGATTCCAAGACAATATTTGAGAAGGAGAGTTTCTCCCAGTGTAATCTGGTAACAGTGCACCAGATTAATTAGCCAGTCACTTCATGACTGACATGTTTGAGTAAATAGCAATTACAGCTAAAGGGCGTTGAGATATAGGCATTACTACAACAACAACAACAAGATTCCATTTATAGAGCGCCTTTCACGTCAGGAGGACGTCCCAAGGCGCTGTACAGTTGGGTCAGGAACCGAGCAGGGGGGAAATGGTCATGGTGAGGGGAGGGAAGGGAGGGAGCGAGGAGGGGGTAGAGAGTCAAGAGGGGAGCCGAAGGCTCGGTCAAAGAGAAAGGTCTTGAGACCGGCCTTGAAGGAGGAAAGGGAGGAGGCGGCGAAGGCACTGGGGGATAGAGTTCCAGAGCCTCGGGGCTGAGAGGCTGAAGGCCCGGCCACCGATGGTAGGGCGGTTGGGGCGGGGGATGTGGAGCAGACCGGAGCCAGAGGAACGGAGGGTACGGGCAGGTAGGTAGGGGGATAGTAGGTCAGAGAGGTAGGAGGGAGCAAGGCCGTGAATGGCCTTGTAGGTGAGGATGAGGATCTTGAAATCGACTACACTACACTATATGTAATGCAAGCATGATCATTAATGATGATCATGCACCTGCAATATTTTGCCTTTTGATGATCATTTAATTATCAGGGACAAAAGTCAACATTGTTCTTCAGGTCATTATTTGAGCTACTGCAGCAAAAATAAATGTTTTCAATCTTATGACCAATTTACAGAGAATACTGTAGATATTACAGCAGATTAAAATGTCATGCTTTATTGTGAAACTACAACAACAAGATTCCATTTATAGAGCGCCTTTCACGTCAGGAGGACGTCCCAAGGCGCTGCACAGTTGGGTCATGACCCGAGCAGGGGGGAAATGGTCAGGGTGAGGGGAGGGAAGGGAGGGAGAGAGGAGGGGGGAAATGGTCAGGGTGAGGGGAGGGAAGGGAGGGAGCAATTATATGACTGGTCGTAATGCAGAGCAATTCTTATCGGTGTTGTCTTCATGACAAAATATTTGACTATATAATGATTTAAACCACCTTGGACGCAATCCAATCCATCATTGTGTTATTTTGACTCAGTGGTAGCACCCTTGCCTCTGAGTCAAAAGGTTGTGGGTTCAAGTCCCACATCGGGACCTATACTCACATCATCTAAGATGAACTTCAATGCAATACTTAGGTGGGGGGGGGGGATTGCATTGTCGAAGGTATTATGCTTCAAATGAGGCTTCACTGGTTCCCCAACCTCCAGTGGATTCAATTCAAAATGTTTGGCTTTACTCTTGAATGCATTCATGGTCTCGCCCCACCCTACCTCTCGGGCCCTAAGTCATGTTTTAGTTGATTTATTGATTAATCTAGCCTTGCCCTTTATCTCCTCTTTCCTCACCCCTCCCTTCAAAACATACTTTAAGACCTCTCCCTTCTTCCACGCTTTCAACCATTCCCCCCTCGTACCTCCTCCAGCTCAGACTCCCTTGCGTAAAGCTCGTTGAGATGCCCTCCTGGCATGAAAGGTCTTTGTAAAAGTAAATTGGTGTTACTGTAACTGACGATTTATACAGAAATTTTAGATTAATAAAATTTGCACTTATACAGCAAATCCTATGAATGACACTATATCAAATGCAGGGACTATCATTTTATCTTCAATTTTATTCCTGGAGTCCTAGTACCCCGTGAAGAATGAGAGTAATGTATCTGTAGATTTTATTGTGGTTCAAAATGTGGGCTGCAGCATGTTGATACACATGAGAGGGAGAAGGGATTAAAACGGAATGGGAGGGCGTAAGGATTGAGTGCAAACTCATGTGGAGATTATATTCAGGCAACAGACTGTATGGCATGTTTCTGTGCTATACATTCTATGTAAATTTATGTAAATATTGGATAAATTGGAAATTATGGAGGGTAGAATTACTGAAGCTGACAAGGAGAATGTTGGAGAAATTTAGCCTCAAGGAGACGAAAGCATTCATGAGCATTTCAGTTGCATAGGGAGGGAGTTAGGGATGTAAATGGGCAATATTCAGGAGATGAAAGAAGGCAGACATATTCTTCTTTCAAGGAAGAATATGTCTTGATTGTACACATATGGACAATCAAGTATTGTCCATATGTGTGTGTGTGGTAGGGGGTGGGGGGGTCAAACAAAACACCAAGGAGTTAGTTTAGTGAAACCCTGCTGCAAATATGAGCAGGATAAAAAAACATAATGGAACTCTCTTTACCTTGTATTTAATTGCAGGGTAAGTATCCTTATTATTTTTCCTAGTTGGCTGGGTAACCTCTGCGTGTTATGGAGAATATAAAAAGAATGTAATTTCACGCTGTACAAGAGTGCACATATTTCTTTGACGATTATAATTGTTGGAAACACAGAATGTTGACAATTTAAAAAATTCAGTTTTATGAGTCCCACATTACACTAACCACCAGCTAAAAATAAAAATGTAAATATGGGCTTTGTCATGGGAAATTTTGCTGAAACTATTTCCTATGGACAAGAAAACTGGTCAGGTTTCAATTTGGTTTGAATTCATCTCCATATCAGAGCTGAGCTGTTCAACACAATAGGGCTATTTCTTTGATCACTGGTCCATATACCAATCATGATGGTGTGAGTATGAGAGTGTGTTCAATGATCAGGTGAGTGTATAATAAGAATGAGCCAACCTCCTTCATTGTGAAGAGATCCCTGGACTCCATTAAACGTCTCACAATAGCATAGCTGATGTAAAAATTAGAATGGGGGAATCTGTGTTCATGCTACCAGACCTCTAACAAAAATAGGCTGTTCCTTCTTGTTAGGGAGTCCATAACCAGGGCACAGTTAGCGACTAGGGAATCAAATCTCCCCCATGCGCCCCCTCACGCATCGTCACTGCCTAATTAGATAAAGCATGATAGTCACACTGGGTGCAAGAAGTCATCCATTCTCCCATAGACATTTCTGACTTTGAAATTCAGCTAAAAGTGTAATAAGATATATGCTGAACCATTATAAATTAATCGTTTTATTTCCTAAGAATTGCAATTTAGATGCAAATAACTGCTGTAGAAGCAAACATTAAACATAATTTTAAAAAATCTAACAATATTTTGAGAGAAAATAGCATTAAATCGCTTAGTGATTAAAGTGCCAAACATGCGTCTCCTGAAAATGTAACGTTTATTATGCTATGATTTCCCAGGTAAAAAGCATGTGACGTGGCATATCATTTCTCCTCAATTGCAAAGCTTACTGTGTCATTGGCTTTCACATTCATGCACTTGTTATGGCCTGAAATCTCAGAGCCATCCGGGCAGATTGCAGTAATGTTCACGTAGATCCCGTTGATGTGGTTGTCCACTTGTAGCTCTACCTCAGAAAGCAGCATCTGTATTAAATAAAACAGCAGAAAGGGCACTTTGTTACCCTTTGACTTTCATTCTGTGGTTTTATGCACAGGAAAATGGACTGAATGACGAAATGAATAAAAGCTTTGTGTTACCAGCAAATCCTTATTAAAATGCAACACTGTATTCTGCTTACTGGGAAATTGGGACAAAGGATTAGTGATCTGCATCATTTGTTCTAATTGTTTGGTGCTTTCCCAATGTATCCAACACATTCTTCAATGGTTCTTTGTATCTGCAGTGTGAAGAACGAGCTGAAATAGCATATTCTACTAAAAGCATTTTTCCAAAACAACAATTCTGGCAGATTTAACAAAACCTCAAAACTTACAGTTGTGTTTAACTGTTTAAGTAACTCCCAAAATGCTTCAATTAGTTACAAGCTATGAACACATAAACATAGCAAAAGATACTCAACGTGAACATCCTCCCAATGTGAAAGGTGATATACCAAATGTAAGAATTATTACTATAATTAAAGAATACGGTGCATGCATCATATGACTGAGATTAGAATTCCAGCTTCTGCGCCACTGACACAGTCTTACAGATTTGCTCTTGTGTTCAGAAGGGCACAGCACTATAATAATAATAATAATCCTTGCATTTGATATAGCGCTTTTCACGTCTTGGAGATGTTTCAAAGCACTTCATAGAATATGCTACAGAATATGTACAGAATTGACTGTATGTTTGTGGGCAAAACATGGCAGCCAATTGCGCACAGCAGTGTCCCACAAACAGTCATGGATTGAAAATGACCAATTTATTATTGTTTTGTTTTGGAGGGATTATTATTAGGTGTGTGAAGTAAGGAAACTTGCCCAAGGTTTCACCCTGCCTGGAATTGAACCCAGGTGTCTCGCTTGCAAGGTGAGTGATCTAACCACTGAGCTATAGGACTCCACAGGACTATTGCCATGTTCAGTCGTACACCATGAGCATACTGGAGGTGAAACACCGGCATACCAATACCTTGCTTATGTCAATGAATTGTCAACTTTCACCCAGTCTGAGCTGTACATAACTTTAGCTTTATGAACACGCTGGACAGCAGCCAGACCACAGGGAGAATGTTGTTCCTTTATCTTTCTTTTGTAGTCTACATTAATCACTTGGTGCGTCCCACTCATTCATCCCCCCCCCCCATAGAACTGAATGTCATTTATACAGACTAATTCAGTGCTGAAAGAGAACCGCTGGTTCACTATCGTTGGAGCACATAACTGCTCCCCATAACTAGACCTCTTTGATTCAATATACTTAGATAATTTTACAGTGAAATTCACTCCCGCTCTATTTGCCTATAATATAAAACAGTCCTTAAGAGCATCAGTCATGATTTTATCATGGGAACTAAAGCATTGGACATAAGAGGTATTAGAAAAATGTCTAGAAACTGAAAATATAATAAAGAATAGTAAGCACGGATTTCAAAAGGAAGGTCATGCTTGACCAACCTCATTGAATTCTTTGAAGGGGTAACAGAAAGCATAGACAAAGGTAATACAGTAGATGTAATATATTTGGATTTCCAAAAGGCGGTCGATAAGGCGCCACATAATAAACTAATGAATAAGGTCAGAGGATGTGGAGTCAGGGGAAAAATAGCAGAATGGATAGTAAACTGGCTACAAAACAGAAAACAGAGAGAGGATGGGAAGTGGTGTTCCACAAGGATCGGTATTGGGACCACTGTTGTTCACAATAACGATTTGGACTCGGGGATCAAGTACAATCTCAAAATTTGCAGACGACACCAAATTAGGGGGTAGAGTTAATACTGAGGACAACTGCAACAAATTACAAGACATTAATAAAACTTGCTGAAAGGGCATTTGAATGGCAAATGAATTTCAATATAGATAAGTGTGAGGGGGTACATTTTGGTAGGAGGAATAAGGAGGTCACATACTGCTTGGAAAATAAGAATCTAAATGGGTAGAGGAGCAAAGGGATCTAAGGGTACAGATACACAAATCGCTAAAAGTAGCGACCCAGGTTAATAAGGCCATAAAAAAAAACAAGCGTGAGGGTTAATTTCTAGAAGGATAGAAATGAAAAACAGGGAAGTTATGCTAAACTTATATCGAACCTTGGTAAGACCACACTTGGGAGTATTGTGTGCAGTTCTGGTCCCCATATTATAGAAAGGATATAGAGGCACTGGAGAAGGTGCAAAGGAGATTTACAAGGACAATACCATAACTGCGAAGTTATACCTATCAGGAAAGGCTGAACAAGCTTGGACTCTTTTCTGTTGAAAAGAGAAGAGTGAGGGGTGACCTAATAGAGGTCTTTAAAATTATGAAAGGTTTTGATAGGGTAGACATAGAGAAGATGTTTCCACTCATGGGGAGACAAAAACCATGGGCCATCAATATAAAATAGTCACCAATAAATCAAATAAGTCAGAAGAAACTTTGTTACCCAGAGAGTGGTGGGAACGTGGAACTTGCTACCAGAAGCAGCAGTTGAGGTGAATAATATAGATGCATTTAAGGGGAAGCTAGATAAGTACATGAGAGAGAAAGGAATAGAAGGTTATGCTGATAGGCTTAGTAGAGGAAGGGGAGGAGGAGGCTCATGTGGAACATTAATGCCAGCATAGACCAGTTGGGCCGAATGGCCTGTTTCTGTGCTGTATATTCTATGTAATTCTATGTAAAAGATAGGGTATAGGAATGTGCAGGATCGCTGAAGACCATTCACTGTCTATCTGGTTGGTTTCATTTCAAATACCAACTCACCCTACCTGACATACTAAATCTCTCAAAACAGCTCACACAATCCATGAAAAAAATTGTAGCAGCAGAAATAACAAACAATAACTGCATTTGATATGTGCTATTATCATATTGGAATGTCTAAGAGCTCTTCACACAATTAGTTATTTTGAATTGTAGTGAGCGTTATGTATGGAACGAAGCAGCCAATCTGCGTCAGTAATGTGCCACAACTGGCAATGAGATGAACAACCAGTTAACCTGGTTTGTTTGATGATCTTGAATGAGGGAAGGAATATTGGTCAGGACACAGAGAAAGCTTGTGAGTAAATATTCAACAGTAATAACAACCATATAAAGAAATATTTCCAAAAGTTTTCATCCTATTGTAGAGCTCTAAACCAACTTGTTCCCCGTTATTCTTTTTGCTCGTTATCATATTCCTTTTTGTGGATTTCTCCCGATCTGGATGTAGTGCAAGAATTCCTGGAATTCACATCCTTGGTATGTTATCTCACTCCAACGCCAGAGCCTTTATTAAACCTGAGAACTGAGTAATGTATCAGTGCACTTCAGTCCTGATTATCCTTTAAAGTTGATCCTTTCTCATGAAAACACAGTACAATGCATAACTTCAAAATCCATATACTGTACTACCAAACATACGCTCATACCTTGTTCTTTAAGTCTGCTGGTTACCGAAACAGAGTGAGTTTTGTTTTTCAAGGGATATTTGTGATCTGACCCACTGTTTTATTAACTATTTGGTTTAGTGTCTGTCAACAACAGCAACAACAATAACAAAATTACATTTATAGAGCGCCTTTCACGTCGGGAGGACGTCCCAAAGCGCTGAACAGTCAGGTGTCGGGGCCCGAGCATGGGGGAAGGGTGGTGTAGGGGTGAGGGAAGGCAGAGAGGTGGGAGGGAGACAAAGGCACGATCGAAGAGAAGGGTCTTGAGACCGGCCTTGAAGGAGGCACAGGGGGGAAGCGAGGCTAAAGGACTGTGGGGGCAGGAGTTCCAGAGTGTGGGGGCAGAGCGGCTGGGGAGCCAGTGGAGTCAGGCGAGGGTGGGAGTGATGGGGTCATGGAGCCTGGTGCGCATGAGTACACGAGCTGCAGAGTTTTGGATGATCTGCAGCTTGTGGAGGGAAGAGTTGGGAAGGCCGATGAGGAGGGAGTTCCCATAATTGAGCCTTGATGTGATGAATGTGTGGGTGAGGGTTTCGGCAGCCTGAGGGGTGAGGCAGTGGCAGAGTCTGGTAATGTTGGGGAGGTGGTGGTAGGTAGTGCCGGTCATAGTGCGGATGTGGGGGAGAAAGTACAGTTCAGGGTCAAATAAGATACCCAGGTTCCTGACTGGCTTAGTGGGGTTAAGTGTGCAGCTGTGGATGCTGATGCTGCCAGCGCCCGAGGTATGGAGGTGCTGGCGCGAGGCAATCAGAAAGGCCTTGGTCTTGCTAACGTTGAGTTGGAGAAAGTTGTCCCTCATCCAGGACTTGATGTCAGACAGGCAGTCGGTCAGGACGCCAGTAGTCCTGGAGTTCAGGGTGGAGGCTGAGCGATAGAGTTGGGTGTCATCCGAATACATGTGGAAATTTACCCCATGTCTGGATGATATCATTAAGGGGGAGCATGTGGAGGGTGAAGAGGAGGGGACCGAGGACATAGCCTTGAGGAACACCACACGAGATGGTGCGGTGCTGGAGAAGAAGCCATTTGTGCGACGAAGTGGAGGCGGTGTGAAAGGTAGTATTTGAACCAGTCAAGGACAGAACCTTGGACGTTGAGGTGGGAGGAGAGGCGGTGGAGAAGGATTGAATGGTCCACGGTGTCAAAGGCAGCGGAGAGATCGAGGAGGACAAGGAGGCAGAGGGCGCCCTGGTCGCACATGGTCAGGAGGTCGTTTGTGACCTTGACCAAAGCAGTTTCCGTGCAGTGGGCAGCACGGAAACCCGATTGGAGGGGTTCATGGAGGGAGTGCGAGGAGAGGAAAGAGCGAAGGTGGGAGGCAACAGTTCTCTCAAGGACCTTGGATAGGAAAGGGAGGTTTGAGATGGGACAGCAGCTGGATAGCTGTGATGGGTCAAGGGAAGGTTTCTTCAAGGTGGGGGTGATAGTGGGTGTTTTGAGGGGGGAAGGAACAGTGCCAGGTTCATGTCAGGAGGACATCCAAAATGTTTCATAAACATTTCACTGTAAAATGGAGTAACTGTGTATTACGTGGGCAAACACAGCAGCCAATGTACACAC